TAGAAGATTCGTAATGGGGCCTATTCTGTAGAGCCCTTTTGAAATTTTGAGGTTTTCTTTTCATAATTATTTGTATTATGCACGGACAAGTGTGTGCTACAATAACTATGCCGTCTCTTAACACGCACGCATGTTTATTGCGGGCAACAAACCGAATTCCCTATTCCGACTGTAAGTTACTTTGATCCGTAGAGTAAATGTAGTCATGTGGGAGCAAACAACCGGAACATTTATTTTCCCTGCGCTGCTGAAACAGAAATCTCCACACTCAGTTGGTAATCTTTTCACAACAGACGATTTCGTGATAACATCAATATTTGATCGATCGGGCACCCCCCCCCGCCAAAGTATTATCAGACTTCATCCTTTTCTCAAAACTGCACCCCTGACATTTTTGGGGGCTGCGGCTTAACGATTGATTTATGGGGAGGGGGAGTTGGTTGAGCTTGACGATGATTAATAGTAACCACTGATGGCAGCTCCACTGCCCCGGGTTCTTCGCTTGGGTGCTCTCGATCACAAGGGGATCAAGAGCAGGGTAATTGCCCCGACAATCGACACCTCGGTTCCACCTGGCATACCTGTGTGAGTAATCCGGTCACCCAGAGCGCAAACTTGGGAACAGAAAACTTGTTGACGGTTAAAAAATACCACAACTTCTCGTTCTTTCTTTCTCTCTCTCTCTTTTTTTTTGGGGGGGGGGCGGAGTTGACCCAGTAATTAGGTTTAATGACATGGGGCAAGGAAGCCGACAAAAAGTGCACTGGTTTGGTTTTTATCGGTGAGGCGTGTCGGACCTGACCCCTGAATGCATGCGGTATACTAGGGAACAGAACACAATCAATAAAAAGTAATTGGAGGTCATTACGCAGGATAAATATTAATAGGTCGCAGACGGGGGGTGATGACCGGTCACTGGTCACCGGATAGGTCAACAGGTCGACACACACATTCCCGATGTTGGTTTCTCTTTAGGTTTATGGTGCTGATAACGGATAACTACAGTGGTAATCAGTGTTGATTGATCGTGTTACAGTAAGTGAGGAAAAACAACAGGGGCAGAATTGTGAGCTATTTTTCATGGGGACGCCAGCATTTGACACCCATGACGCAAATCAAAGCTTCGACAGGGTCTAGACACACACAAGTTGTTCACTTTCCCGATAAGCTTGGGTTTGCTTTTTCAAAGTTTCACGAAATGCTCTGCCCTCGTGGAACTGTTATTGTGAGGATGGTCGAGCAGCTTAGTTGACACCAAGCAAAGCACCAATACTGATGAAATCTCAGGAGTCCTGGTGATCAAAGGCATGCACACTGCGGATACCATTTTCTAGATTCAAAGATTTAAGACATCTATAGTATCCCCTAATCAGTGGTGTAGCTAGGAGTTCACTAGTGGGGGGGGGGGCACAAAGGGGCACCAGCATCTTGGGGGCACCAGCTTTCAGGGGTGTGGTTATTGGGGGCAAGATTTTGTTAGCCTTGTTCAATATCCATTCATTCATCCTTTTTTTTAGAGAGGGGGGCACCTGGAGTTTGTGGGTGGGTACGTGCTCCCCCAGCCCCCCTCCCCCCGTGGCTACGCCACTGACCCTAATTAATGTTATAATGTTATTATATACAGTTCTGAAGATTCGAGCTCTATGGACGGGCCTTCATTTTGTGCGACACAATGACAAATGATATAAGCATGATAGTTATAAATGATTGGTTGATCCAAAATCAACCTCACTGTCTTCACTGGGTCCAGGATGGGACACATTTCGTCAGGTATGCAAGTATGGCATTCAATTGATATTGCAACGACACTGAGCATCGAAATGAAAGTAACAAATCTCGACACCAGAATGTCACCACGTATCCTTAGATCAGAACACATTAATCGGATGAATTTCACCTGATGTCAACTACAGAAGTACAAGACTAGGGACAACTCTACCTCTGAGTGTGTGGGGAAACACTTTCATTACCGATGAGTCATCCGCACGGCATCCCCGATGACAGACCGACACACCGCCGGGAAAATAACGAGCCACCGCCGGGCGCAGCCGAACAAGGAAAAACCTGCCTTGGGCTTCGGTGCAGAGAAGCGAGCACTAATTACGTCTCCGGGGAAAGACAGACTCTCGGCCTGCAACAGGAGCTGGCCCGACAAGACGCGGCGCGAGAGCGATGGGGTAAGTCTCACAGCCGGTGCTGAGTCCCCTGGGGTGTGGGGGAACTTCACCTGGTGAATCATCGGTCAGATATGATCACTTGCTGTACATACAAGACAATGATGTCATAACAGGCTTGTAAAACATTTTATCGGAGGAGCCATAACTTACGGCCCTGACCCAATAGACCAAGAGAAATTTGACTGACTCTAAAATGTAAAGCATGTTGCAAGCAAACCGCATGTAGTAGAGCCATCGTCATCGCACGATCGCCAGAAAATGTTGCGGCATTTTCTTGCTACTCTTCCCGGTTCAGCGTGTACATGTACAACACCGAGTCGAGGTACATCACATCAACACTTATCTAGTTCCACAAACTGTATCACGTGCCACAGTGAATTTATGTTGGCTTCTGCGTAGACGCTTCCATATGTTTTGCCCATGCGTGCGCCGACAAACAAAAGACTCAATTCAAGCATGTTCACATTAACACTTCCACAATTTTGATTTCAACAGAGCCAATCTGTACCGACAATGGCCATCTCTTTTCCCCCGTGTGCGCGCACACACATACACACCCATCCAGTCTGAAAGGTAAACGACCTAGCGGCTAGGTGCAGACAACAGTCAGGCAAGTGAAACGGGCTCAATGACATAATCAGACGTGACAGTCCCCACTCGCAAGCGCCTTGCCGCGTAATTGCTTTGGCAGTCGCCTGTCCAATCAGCGAGTCAGATTTGCCGTTCAAAAAATTGAGGAAGCCTGCGCTGTCACTCCAGGAAACCGACTATTATCCCCTAGACGCGCGCGCTAGCATGAGGACTCCAATTGGACCTTTTTCTGCCTGGTGCCGGCAAAATGACTGTATTATAAGCAGCCAGGGAATACATCACTCTCATTTTCGTCTGCAATTTTTATGAACAGCCAAAATTTTGCAGAAAATGCATGTATCACCCTTTGGTTGCTTTTTCTATTTTACCTCAAGTTCGTTCAAAAATGATTGTATTTCATTTAGTATTTAGTAACACGGGTATCATTATCTGGTATTCTGGTAGCTGCGTGGAATTTTCGACACTCTGTGAATAATTCTTTACTTTTGTACTGGTGACGGACCAGACATAGCCACTTGTTGGAAAAACACGAAGGTGACGTCTATATGCAGGTCCCAATGAAAATCAATTTGTCCCAGAAAAAAACCTCTCGGTTTCGTGAAATACCGGTAATTGACGTCTTTAAGAAATCATCTCCCTTTTCTGATATAGCAAATTTTTAACACCAGTGGAATTTCACAATGGACGTCAAAATCCTTTTTGACCCAACAAAGACATCAAACCAAAAAAATCCGAACCTTTTCAAAATTAAATTGCAACTTATTGACCAAATGTAACACATATGCTCACGTCTCCTGTCCCTTGCGTTACATCTTCCAAGGACGCGTTCCTGACACGCCCCTTTTTGATATAGATACCGTATTAAAGCTAGGAAAAATTCTCTGACGATGCTGTCATCGTGATGATGCGTCGGTCGGTACAGCCTTGACGTAAAACAAAACCTAGAGGTCTGAATTCCTCAAGGTGCTTTCTTTAGTGTCCGAATATAACACCCAAAGATATCTGGGGGCGTTTTCTTATGATGCCACTACTGCGTACAACCTGTTGTCTTTCGATAGAAGGAGATCCTTCGCCCGTGTGGGCGAAACGTCCGAAACCTCCCCAAGGGATTCAGAATTGAAACTCGTGGGAAACAATGAGTGCGCTCCAAGGCCCTCGGTATTCTAGGTCGCCTGGACTTTCTTGAGGTGGCGATATCGGATTCCCCATTATGAGTATATGACCTACTCTGTGTACCATGCCAGACTAAACGTTACATCTTAGAGAAAATTACGGCAGTTATACCGGAGTGTGGTTGAACTATGCAAGCTGTTCCTGAGATTACAACATGCAGTTACGCACAACGGCCAGTACATCTATCCGCCCTGAGCAGAAGCAATCCCTCATCGGTTGAAAAGAGCCATACTGGTTGGGAGAGCAAGCGATGTGATTACAACGCTCGCTTGCTTCGTGAACCAGCAAACCAGGAAAATTGAGCCCTCTCTTGGTCCAGCTCGGGGCCCAACGACGAAAAACCCAGTCTGGATTGTTCGCTCGTCGCCCAACCCAGCGCCTGAATTAACAGGGCGCCGGGATGGACTGATGGCTTTGCACTGTGATTGGCTTCATTGTGCACGACCTTTGACCGCAAGGTTATCACGTCCTGGTAGCGAAGCGTTATTTAAATTTCTTGCTTGGTTCGCCAACGCCAATGCTTGTAATGTGCGGGCAAAGTGTACATGTATGTCATGAAAAATGGCCTTGGCACAATCACAGTGCGGTAATTTATCTTCTCACTAAAGTGTCTCTGATCACGTATCTTTTAGCGATATATTTCATATCATTGTTATCTTGATCAATTTTGGAAGAATGAAAAAAGTATGGTAAGAATATTTTCAGCAATGAAGAAGCAAAAAAAAACTCGAATTGATAACCGCCGCTTGTGTATATGATGCATTGAGCGAGCTCGCGGGCCTGGCAGAAATTTGCCCACAATGCTCTGTGCGTCGTTAGCTGTCACCCCGTGTGACGTATTTCCTTCACTAAAATCTGTGCAAGGCCATCATCCCTTCTCAGCGCCCCGATCGGGCGCTGGGCGACGAGCGAATCTGGATTGGTGATGATGCGCATGCCTTAACACGAATCACTGGGCCCACGCCTTCACATCACGCTCTCTGATTTGATTGGCCGCGGCGTTTAAATCCATGCGGCCATGCCTTGCGTTCCCATATTTGTTCCCTACAGGTAACTCACCTATGAACCACTCCCCGCTCGTGCAGGTGATGCAAGGCCGAGACGAGCTGACGGACGAACGGGCGAGCCACGGCCTCGGTGAGTCGGCCCTCCCGCTGCCCTCGCACGAAGGACAGAAGGTCCCCTCCGCCGGCATACTCCGTGACGAGGCAGTACAATGAACTTGACTGAAGCACAGAAAAAACGGGGCATAAGTCCATTTAGCATGTGATTTGCTTCGAAAAGGCGCGCTTATATTCGGTCATCTGGCTGCAGCGACCTTGTCAGACTCTGCGTCCGATACAGCACGTCAATATCAAAAGACAACTAGCATGAACACAAGCAATACAGTCAAACTAAGTTATAGTGCTTGTGTGAGAAGCGCCATTGACCCATTTCAAAAAATTCTTATCGGGTAGGTGTCGGACACAACTGTCCGACGGATACATTTATTATCGGTTGGCTATCAGGTTAAGTGTTCTCAAGTGGCCAATTTTTAACTGATAAATGCCTTTTTATTGCACTACTTCCAAGGCTATGTGGTTTTAGTGGAGCAAACCCCCCTCAATTATTCACTCAATTAACACAAGTCACTGTTATCGGTCGGATGGCCCTGTCCTATAGTCAACCGATAAGAATTTTGAAATGATGCCTAAGGTAGAACTCCTTTTTTCTAAATTTATGCTGAGCTACAAAAAAACCCGTACAGGCCTACACATCTGGACCAAATTAAATGTCAATCTGCTGCTCTCAAAAATTAGTGCCAGGCTAGCTGGAGAGTGAAAGAGATTGAGAGAACCACTCAGAAGCAATGTGTTTCCAGTGACATCTGGCTGGTCAACCTCCCATTTTTGCAATGAAGGTAAATCCTTCTGTGCTTCTATATCACGTGTCTCTGCTATCCGCCCCAAGCTGAAGTGTACCCCCAATCGGCGAAATATAAAGAAAGACAGGTGGTTACAGGCGGGTTCTTGCACGCATTCTGCGTGTACGCAAAGACCATACATGTCGGAAATAAATTAGTTATGCGTACTGAGCGTGCTCTGAGTCAAACGCGCATATATTTGCGCGTCTCATGGCACGCCTATGCAGTGAGTACCAACAAAAAACGCCCTCTTTTGTTCCACTCGGAGCGGATAAGCTTCAGGAAATTCGTCCCTGGTCTCAAGATATGACAAGATTTTCGCAGAATATCTCTGAATCCACTCTCATAACGCGATCGCTGGGTGGGTTGTGCATGTGCAGATGGGATTACGTGTACGGGTGATACACTAACATCAAATTTAAAGAAAAGATCACTTTTAGCGCAAAGGTCTCTTGTGAGTGTGGACCCTTAACAATCTTGGAATTTCCAATATCGAATCCCATAACATAATGCAACTGTCAGCAGCTTTCTGCGAAATGGTATCCCAGCAAAACCTTAAGGTCACTCCAGAGGTCAGAGGTTATGACAAAATGCTTATCAGTAACGCCCGACAAGGGAGAGTTTCCGGTTCGATAATGAAGTGTTTTAACTCCTTGAAAAATAAATATTGGTTTTATAGGGAACTGCAGAAGGAAACAAGAGTGCAATGAACAGAATAAGGAAATCCGCAGTGTGAAAATTGACAGTTGAGGAAGTAATACAAAAAAATAAACGTAGACGAAAGCGCAAATCTCCAAGAGCCATATTTCCTGTGCGGATTCGTTTGCTTTCGTTTTTTTCCAACAGTCGGTTTTGATTGTACAGAGGGAAGTTTCAGGACCTTTTTTTCTGTTCTTTACCGGGCGTAACTTCTATGAATTTCTTCTGTCAGCCAAGCCGGTAGATGCTGACGTGGTACAGAAACAGACACTGGCGAAATACGTGTGTATCCGACAATTACCATACATTTTTCAATGGTTTACGATCAACCTGTTGCGACGTGGACATCAGTAAAAAAAAAAAAGCCCAACTAAATTTAGAGTGGACAATGGGTCGGATTCTATTAAAGGAGCGAGCTTTGTCAAGAGGGGGCGCGAACATTTACATGTATTTGTAACAGTTCCAAACATGATACTGGGGTTGATCTACTGAGCTAACATAGCTACATCAATGTGGGATCGATCAGACTTCAAGATAGAACAGGGTCGCGCGTGACAACATGAAGTTTCAAAGGCTTGAGGATTTTAACGGTGGCTAAAAGAAGAACTGCTTTTATAGCCCTGGTCCACGATGCAGTTCGACAAGTGGAAATTACGCGGTAATAAAAATAATAAGAATGCCACCAAATGGAAATGTGGTTCAAATGAGCAAATATCCTTTAAAAAAAGAGTTCACCATCGTCATGAGACAGACCTACCAGGTTTTATACACCTCATACTAAAACTTTATCCTCGCTGCAATCAAACATGTCACAAGGTCACCATAAAACTTTACGGCCGGAACGCCATCTAGCGTCGCGATCCAGCCAAGCCGCCGACCCCGATGACCTCATGCTCCCAGTGAGCTAGCTGGAGGAATGCAATCAAATTGGGCTGGTCCCAGAGAGTTCGGAATAGAAAGTGATCGCTCGTTTGCGGGAAAAATGACAGTCAAGAAGGGGGGGGGGGCTTGGTAACATACCTGGCGCACCAGGGGCTATTAAATAGCTAAATGCATGGCATACTTGTACCACTATTTTCTCAGTCTGCTCTGCGTGCGTACTCGTCGAACAATGGGTTGGCTTCGAAAACGGGCATGGGACTGAGGTTGGTACATTGACATTGTCAGCGGTGCTTTAGGTACATATAGTGCAGGCACGACCGAAGATTCCTGAATGGTATTCACCATGGAACTGTGTGGGCCAACAAGCGAGTGCTTTTCCTTATTCAAAAGTTGGCCATCTTGAAAGTGAGGCGAATCCACCATATTCTCCTTAAGACTGAAAATGGAGCAGTACGTAAAGGCAAATGACAGATTAACCCCGCTGTGCTCTAGTGAACAGGCCTAGCCGGTAAATGCAAACACACATTAATCTCTGGGAATAAATTAAAAAATTGCTTAATGAGCAATGAAGGCCCAACTATCAATTCGTTAAGTACCTTCCAATGCAAAGGTGTAAGCAAAGTGGACTATAGCACGGCTATATGAATGGCGCATAATGCCCACTTTGGAAGGCCCTTCGATATTGCTAAAGATAAACAAAAGGAAAACAGTTCAGCAACAGATAACAATTCTGAAGTGCGTTTGGCAGCCTGACGGTTTGCAAAAGTGCAATCCTCGTTTAATTTCGAGCGCTGATTTGACCATTAACAATAATCTGCTTGCAGAGCTGAGAAAATATGTGACAGAAGTACAAGCATTATATGGTAAGATACCGTACAGTGTGTACCACTCACACAAAACTAATTCCAGTGGGCTTTCGAGGTTTCTTTGTTCGTGGCACATGGATTTCTTCTGACCAACATGACTTGGATGTTTATTGTAGGCCTGCACGGGAAACACTTTCGCTTGGTTGTTGTGGTCGTAAATAGTTTTTTTTTCTTGACCTAACATGAATATACCTATCACCGTTTTTCCCACCCCAGCCTTACCGATATAGCCTCATAGAGTCGCACCACGTTCGGGTGTCGCAGCTGGGCCAGGATGCGGGCCTCCCGGTACAGGTTCTCCCGTACGTAGTCCTCCTTGATCTTGTTTCTGTCAATCACCTTGATTGCCACCTGGGGAGGGGGAGGAGGGGGGCGATTGGGAGTGGGGGAAAACGAAACAGAAAGTTGCTCTCATCTTCATGCAATTATCGAGGTTGGGGAGTCACGTGTTGCCAATAAGCGTGGCCAACCGGAGTGACATTCCGATGGGCGGGAGACCGTGAAGCTGGTTTTGCGAAATGCCCATACAATATAATATATATTATCATAAAAAAACCCAAGGAGGTGTAAATCAGTTGACTTCTTCAGCGAGTTTTCTTTCTTTTACTTCGTGCACCCAAGCGCGTCTAAAATATGTCCAACTTTGTACCTACATACAGAAATACGTCGACGAGATACGTCGAAGTACGGGGGACATTGTCAGTTCGGAACACACACAGTCACAAATGCCCATCACTTCTCTGAATGCAATTTGTGTTTTTGTTCCTCAGCCCCCCCCATCCAAAAAATGAACAAGCGATATTTGTACAACATCACACTGAGCCAGTTCGCCGTTTGCGCCACGTCGAGTGATCGCTTGCAAGCAAGCGAGGATTAGCTGGATACTCAGGCCGATTGGTCGTGAATGATTATAAACAAAAGAGACGAGGGGTGACGGGTAAGCTAACCTGCAAACTCTAAAATACCAAAGGCATGAACCACTGGTAAAATAGTCTCTACACTCTCTGTAACAGACCGACGCAAGAGCGCCAATAAGGCATGCACATAGACACCACTGCGTACGTATCAACTACGGCACCGTTTACAAACAGATCAACTGTAATTTACAAGAAAGTACAGTATGTTGATACCAGAGTTATGATCACTTTGCTACTGTTTGTACGCATTACAGTAACTCTTTTCAGTTGCTATTAGAAAGTGCAGTGATCTCTTTTTTGGATTGATCCCTTGAGTGTAATTGGAGACTTTTAGACGCTGGTGACAGCAGACACACCGGTCCTTTTTTCAAGGTTTTGCGTATGCTCTGAACTGAGCACGCATGCTCAAAACAACGCGCGCATGCTCATGACTGGTAAAAAGGGCCGATATGTTTGTCGCCACCAAGCATCCCAAAGTCTCCCATTATGGGGACTTGACTCAGGCAAAACATATTCAAGAGATAGGACGCGATTATCTTATCTTCGTTTTTCAAGAAATGCAATTCCTGGGGGAAGGCAGTTTCTCATATCGTTGTTAACCACGCAATGGCCCATTCAGGGCCCAGCTCACAGCGCTGCTTAAACAGTTAGCAGGAAAGTAGTGCCTACTGTAGCAGCCAATTTTGCTAACTGTAAACCTGCGGTGCTTGGCGTGGTTATGCTTATACGGTTGCGGCCATAGAGATTTCCATCGTTTTGTCACCAAGTGAAGCAAATTTTCCCTCCAAGGTAAGCGTGCCTTTACCCATGCTTACTGCATACGAAATACACGGAGCCTCGCGTGCTGAAAAGCGTCGAGAATTCTTGGCCCAGGACGGCAGCGAAGCCGTTTTCGGGGGCACAACATGCCGCCTCAGGGTCGCGAGCTAGTGGCACGTGCCTGTTTGGTGGTGCTGATAGTGAAAGCCAGCACAATAAAGACGTCGCAACGATTCGCGTGCCTCGTAAAGAACAACTGTTTATAGCGAGCGACTGATGGATGTGTAGCGGGGCCGTAGGTCAACGGGACGCGCGGGGACACGCCCCGTCGCTCACGTCTGCTCTTCGCTTACCTCGCCTTGCATCCGCGTGTCATCCCATTTGATGGTCTTTCAAGTATCTTCTTATTTCTGCTAAATTTTGGCCAGCAATTCCTCGTGAAAATGAGCCTTATGATGCAGTCAGGGATGGCAACAGAGAGTCACATTTGCTATGCAAAGCTTAGTAGAAATACTACCTTCAAAAGTCGAAGCTCCACCCCTTTGAAAGTTTTTTCAACCCTCGTTTCCACTTTTCAATGAGTCATTTTCTCCAAATTGGGCCTACACTTTGTCGTTTACGGATCATTACAGATATATTAATTTCTATGTCTCCATTATTCTGTTAACGTCAGAGCTATTAAGCAGAGGCACAGAGTTCGAATGAACGTGTAGCGGGTGCGGCAAAACAATCTGTGACACGCATGGGGTATTGTCAAAACACAATTACGGCAACTGATGAGACGGCTACATAGCCAGGTTAGCCTTTCTCTACGACTGCACCCAAGTGCAATATGAAAATCGATCATGTGAAATTTCGGGGCTGTAAAGCGCCAAACTACCCATCTTTTGCCTGACGCCACATCGTCCAGAGCGCATCATACTCATCTCCATTTTCTCTACACTAGTCATTTACCTTCCACGTGTTGCCCTATGCCGTTATCCGTCCGTGAACATTCTTCACAAAATTTGCCTTTGACGTATGTATCACTACGGCTATCAATCTAGATGCTGTGAAAACTCCTTACTTGGCTGTGGCTGGAGATAACGATCACTCTCCAGTCTCCTGAAAAACAGTCTTACCCCCCAAAAAAAAATCTTATCTGGCGGGCCATTCGTTGCCCTGTGTCCCTCCCCCGCGCATTGCTCCAGGGTCAACCACAGGGTCAAGACGGTACACCTTCCGAAATTCCGAAGCTCCCTGTCCTTGTCAACTTCCGATATAAACAAAGTCCCGCAACTCCATACATGGTCAAATCGGCCACACTGTTTAGCAAGCCTTTTGCCACGCAGCCGTTTTGAAGGGGAAAAAAACTTACAAGGCCAATCTTACCGTCCCGCAGACATGTACTTTCGATTGTGAAATCATCACGCACACACAAAAGGAAGGGGCATTAAATCCTCCGGAAAAAATATGTCTACTTATAAGGCACCGACTTGTGAACCGAGCGAGCTCTAGTCCCTGGACTCGGCTTATGCTTAACTGCTTCGTAGTCTGGATCAAGGGGGACTTTTGATCCACGGCAATTCAATCACATCAATTTTAAAGACATAAACACCACATTGAAACTATGATAATGACCTCCAACAATTTTAAGCAGAAATACCTCCTTTCTCGAGGAAAGCAAATGCCTGTCAAAAGCACTACATAAAAATTCCGCATCACAAACTTTTGTATGCGCGTCAATGCCTTCGAGAACGAAGCGGTGGCCTTGTAATAAATATCAAGCTATTTAAATGAGGCCTGAGCCCAACCGTCCATTAACTTCGGCCACTGCTGCAAGTGTAAAGATAATTTGCACTTTAAATTACCAAACGCAGGTCCTGCCGCCTATTTCGTAATTAGACGACAGATATCGCGGAGACGGACGACGCCACTCGTAGCATTTTGACATCTGCAAGGAAGGCCCGTCTCTCCACAGCGAATGTCTAAAGCCCACGATTGAGAAACCACAGCCGGGAAATTTCCATAGAAACAGAGGCCTTGTTTTTGATATCCCAGGCATCTTGCGGTGGTCCCACCCCGCTGAAATTACACTGAAATTACCGTCTCACAAACTCACCACCCAATGTGGTTCCTTATTCTTAATTAATACATATAAATCAGTGAAATCAGTCGGAAAAGTGCATCGAGCTCCTCCGGTCATGCTCTTAGAGCATGGAGGCGGAACCACAGAAATCTATAAGTTCCCCCACAAGAAGAAAAACATCAGTTTGGATAAACCCGTGGTCAAACTTAAAGTACTTCATTGCATTCCTCCTCATCCACTCGAAATGGGAATTTAAAAGATAAGATTCTTCCCGATGTAGATAAAATAAAAAGAGCGTTGACGGCACTTTTCAGCTCGGGATTTGAAATGAATTCAGACAGCACACTAAAAATTCCAAGATGGAAAGATTTCAGATGGCGTGACGTATGTCTTGACAACATCAACTGAAGAGCACGTACCTAAAATCTCGGGTTTTTAATTTGTCTTAATACAATTCCAATGAATTGAGCAATTTAGACCAAACGAGTGCCAATAAAAAGAGATACCTGTTGTAAATGCCTGAATACACTTCAAGGAGGAACTGAGCGTAAAACGAAATGTTTCCATTTCCATGAGATTTTAACATAGCAAAAAAAAAGGCTGTCCTTGAACAGGCATCGGAATTCCGGTCCGTCGCACAAACACTTTCCTTTTCGTGTGTCTTCTGACACTGTTTGTCTTCCAGTGAAATTCCCGATTTCCTTAAATGGTCAAAAGAAAGTAGTCTAGGTACATTCGAGTGAAGGCATTCGAGAAAGTTTGTGATCATGCCACGTGGGAGAAAAATTAAGGTCTGACCCCTGGGGTCACGAACCCTCTGTTCAGTGTTCTCCCCAAACACGCGACTTGATTTGGGGAACCCGCTACTGTTTCATGTCTAGCAAGACGACCGAATAGGCAGGTATATTTCAAGTTTGATCTGGACTTTGGGGGGGGGTCAGCATAGGGTAATGAGTTCAAAGCCTTGCTTATAAAAAGGACTGTCATCACACAAAGTCATTCATAAAAAGAAAAGCTTTGATGTTTAAATTTTAAAAAATACACGCTACTTACCTGCACTAATCCTGTTAAACATTTCTTTAATCTTCTTGTCATAGTTTTTCAGGGTTTCATAGCATGGCCATTAGAGCTAATGAAGGTAACATTAAACCCTACCTAGACCTCGCTCCCCTCAAAAAACGAACAAGAGAGACTATGAGCAAAACAAGTAAAAAAGCGTCAACAGTTTTGGTTGGGTGCCAAAACGATACGGAAATATTTATAGCCATGGCGATCGCCCCCAAATGTACCGTGTCAAAATACTGGGTGGTCCATGGGAATTCACTGTCGATAGCATGTTGCTTGTAGCCGGGCTCTTGATGTTTCTGTTTGTTTTCGCAGGCGTAATCAAACTCAACGTGTTTTGCACAAGAAGGTTGCTGATGGATCGAGATCCACAAAACGAAACTCGAGCTGGTGCTTTTAAGAACAAATTGTGCCCATGAAAATCCTGGGCCAAATGTGTAAGTCTGGCACGCAGCGGCATTCAATGATTTGCAGCGCCCAAAATGTCATTTGTGGCATACCGGTACCTATATCGCGAGCCAGTATATAGCGACGATGGCAATTGACTCTATATCACGGCGATACTTTTTGCTTATCACCTCCGTGTAAAAAGAAGTTACGGCTGACCTTATGCCAAACCTATTGCGTGCTGAACTATTGGAAGAGCGCGATCTCCAGCTAATTTTTACTTGACCCCAACTTTAAAGCGTCCACCGTCAACAATTGCTGACATATCTAGACTATCGTTGTTTATATGTAGTCGCGATTTCTGTGGGAATTCGTTTCGAAGCATGGTTTACAACTGTGTCAATTTGCATCCATGGGAAGGCTAAATGTACTGCTGTACAGGATAAAACTCGATGTTACGCGGAATTATCTTGGCTCTCTTGATCTCCTGAAAGAATATAGACTGAATCTCATCACACTGAACAGAATGAGCGCGCGAAATGTTTTCATCGGCTGTCGTGGCCATTGGGGCGTATAACGGAAAACGGACGGTAGCTAAAGCCTTGTGGCAGAGGATTAGGGCCCAACTCTCATGTTCTGGTGAGTTAGGGTTAAGCTAGTCGAAGACTGTAGAGTTTTGACCACACCAACCTTGGTTTTAACGACACTGTGAGTGGCAAGTTCCACGACGGCAAAGTTGCCTTTCCCCAGGGTTCTGTCCTCGGTGATGTACCGTCCAACATAGCGGAGCCTCCCCGCCATGTTGCTCCTAAAAAATCGCTCACCGGAAGCCACTTCCCGGACTCACTTCGATCCAATGCGCAAAGTTATCGGTATTAACTGGTCCAACTCCTACCACAGTTCGCCGTGTTTCGTCGGTTACCAAACGACGGCACGCACTTACAATATCTAAGCCGGTATTAATAACACTGCTTAGGTGGGTGTGCATAATTTTACACATTATCGCACCGGCCGAGGTGGCCTTTGTATCTGGGTAAAGAAGATTACCTCTCTACCTTCAAATTGACAAGAAGGATTTAGGAAACTTCTATCAAGGGGATTTTTTTCACAGCGGAGGCATGCAGGATGCATGTACACAACGACGCGTTGCGCGTATGCAGTGCGCGACAGTATCGGTTTAGAACCTCGTGGAATCTTTCAGGAGCGTATTAACGCGCAGAGTGTAGGGAGAGGAAGCGGGCGTTTGCGTATTTCATTTGGCACTGCGCACGCAGCGCGACAGTGCAATCGCAGTGGGCATGGATGATTGTTTTGCACAGATTTGAATCCCCAAATCCCCTAAGTTTTCCTGATCTGGACCCTCAGCTAACACCAACGATCGCATCACTCGAGATCCATTGGAAAATACCGACCCTGCAAATTATTTAACAATGTGCCCATCTCGGCCCCCGAGAGGAAATCACGTAACCGATCAAATGCCTGCTTTTTCTTTTTCTTCCTCAATGGACTGACTACCAACATTCACTTTTCACTTTTAATCCTGTGTCCTGCAGGCGGCACGACTGAAGAAACAGTAACGATTTTATTTCATAAAAAACGTGGGCCGTGCATGGTTTTGACATTCCCAACAACATCATTTTGTTAAAAACAACTCTATTTGCCACAATCGGCGGAAAATCACCAATTTCAAAACAGGACTGTAACATTGTGCAGGCTAGTACGAGAAATAAATTGCGAATAAAGAATGCCCACTGAAAAGAGCATGGGGGTTATGGCGGCATGTGGATCAATACTGCGCATCTTCCGCAAAACAAAGTCCGATGAATTTGCTACAACTCGAAAATGTGCCCTATTAAAAACACACAGACAGATAAATTTGACTCCAATTTGTGGGTTGGCATTAGAACTGAAACATGATGAAACATCTTATCACTACATAGAATCTGACATTCAACGCGTTATCTCGCTCACTAATTCCTATAATCCGTCTCATCATTCGTGCCAGGCCTGAGCCTTCAGTAGTTTTCTCGGGGAACCCACAACAGAGTTTTCCTTCCTCCCCCCCCCATCACTGAAGTTGCGGTCATGAATTAGACAGACTGACATTTTGCATCCGCTCTTAGGAAGAAGAGAAAATCTATCACACTGGAGGTTGCTGAATGCCCTCCTAAAAAGGGAAGTTGGTGTCGACAGGAGACTGTATCTCTTCTGGTTCTGCGATTGCCTCAAACTTGGCTGGCAAGACGCCGAACAAGTAAAGAGCACCGTTTGAATGATATACAGCTTCGGGGTGCAAACAATCGGCCAAAACTGGGCCTCTTCTTCTGGACATACGTGCAGCCATGCAAGGGAGCTACTTCTGTTAATCGAGGCGTAGAACTTAGTGATAATAGTACTTTCGTTTTGGGGGGATGGGGGACCGCTGACGCAGCCGCGTGCCGGTGTCGCGACCCGTCGTGGGTGCCCCGTGGCACCAGTCCCGTGCCGGCACGAGGCAATGTTTATTGTCTCAGACAAGGGTTTAGACTGGCATCTGCCGGGAGACACAATAATTGTCAGGGTGAGAAAGGGTGATTGATAAATTGCGCCGATCTGCCAACAGATCAACTGTAAATCAAAAGCGAAGGGGGGCGAAACCCGGCCACTTGACAGGCTGTCCGCTTTATTCGATAAGTATCAGGTCATGAGCTCACACCTGTCAAGTTTCCTGACGTCGCAACAGCTATCACAACGAGGATGGAAACATGGCGTCACCGGACCAGACCAGTTTGCTTGTCGTAAAAGCCGGAAAGCCGAAGTTCTTGAAGAGAATTTAGGTTTGGCGAAACACGTCAGCCTATTTACACATCACAGTAGTTTTTTTCTCTCGAAGGTATTAACAACTTAAAGTAAAAACTCTCGCCATCATTGAGAAAAACAGCTGCACACTCTATTTACACGACTTATAATCTCTGATTAGTCCTTGAAATAAATAAAGCACCAAATGTGCAATGTGCTTTTTACCAATCAATTCATCCTCTTTCATGTTTATTTACCATTCTTATAGTCTGTGCCTCTGGTGCACGCCATCCATCGACAACTGACAATCAGAGATGGGATCAACCAATCCTGGCTGGTCACGCCTGACGACCCTGTGGCACGTCCAACCAATCAAATCGGTGTCGGGGATAACATTCGACCAATCACAACTTCTGGTGAGCTTGACGGGGACAAGATCGATCGCTTAGCCACTGCCATCCTTGATTACGGGCGTCCATGTTGATCTTGTCCAAGTAATTAAAGAGCAAGGGAATGATCATGGGCCCCTGACTGTCGTAAACTGTTAGAGAACGTTGTCCATTTCCAGCATATAGCATTCCAGGCATTTGACAAGCCTGCGGGTGTGGGGACGCCGGGCACCAGCGGCGAGGGGAAATGAACGGAAGCGTGGATGCGTCAGCTACAACTCGGCAATTTCCTACATGTGTGTATAAATAAATACGACCATGATGGGGCTGGTTTTGCGGGGACCATCTCTCAACATAAACCAACAATTGTCCATGAAGCTCGGTGGAAAGAAAAGCAACAAAAGCGCAGAGAAAAAAATGCAGCCTGGATCATCCTACATGTACCGAGGTTGGTTGAATGTGGCTGAAACTAAGACAGCTTCTTAAATTACTGCGGAGGAACGAACGGGAATTTTATTTCCAGCTGTACATGAAACCGATACGCTTTTAAACCACGAAGTCCAGTGATTACGAACCAGTCTCCCGGGAAGTCACTCATCAAATGCTATACTTTTCGAGATTTTTATGTTCTATCATCCACTACACTTTTTTTCACACCCCTTTCCTGGCCATATCCATGTCTCAAGTAGACTCCCCAAGTTAATACTCCTGAAAATTTAACAATTATGCTATACACGGCTTTTCAGAAACAATTTCCCGGTGTCACATCTGTAGGTTTCTTATGCAGCGGGGCCGGCAGGGAGTAATGACCGACACAAGGAAATTTTCAGTCGGTGTACATATTCAACCTTTCCGTCTTGGAAACCAACAACTTTTCATGCGTCGTACCTCAGGTACATTTCAGGGTCAACGACCAACATGATATTCATAGTGACCAGACTAAAGACACAAGAAACCTCGACCTGGGAAGCCACCGTAGAGGTGTCACCAGACCAGGCAGTTTCACACAGCGCTGCCAGATCTTCTTGCATATTAGTAATTACTGGCAGAGTGGGGAGTCCTTCGTGTGCCTTCCATCAAACTATGCAGTAGGTTATATCTGCCCAGCAACAACCGAAACACATCCCATTCCTCCAAGTCTGCATGATGTAAACTCTGTCTGAGAGGACTCATTCAGCACTAATTTCCCAATCTCTGACAGCGCTGCTAGATGCATCTGCAGCCAGCTGACGAGACGTGGCACGCGCATGCTGCGTCTTCCGGTCACGTGGAAATGCTTGTGCAGCATTAATTCTTGTTCTAACATCATTTCATCTATGGGGCGCTGGTAATCGAACTCCTCGCTATAAGTTGGCACCCGCTAAAATTGAACACATGCAAGTATATATGTCTAGTAATCCCTTTCAATAACACGACTTTCATGCCTACATACATGTACACCGAACATACACCGCTCAATGATAAATGATCTCACTTTTCTACAAGGCTCTAGCTTCGTAAATCTCTGAAACTGACTCGTGGCGTCATTCAGTTTTTATTCCTTGGTGTAATCTTAGTAATAGTAATTATCCGTAATAAACAGTACAATCACACTGTTATTTTTCACTTTAGTCTCATGGGTACGTTCATTACACATAGGCCTATAGGGCAGACCGTCATTTGTTCTGTGTAGCAAGATTGGGGAAAAAACGCTTACATATTCGTGTAGGCCACTGTGGTTGCTAGACATCTAACACGATGAGACAGCACATTATGAATTATTGTAACATGGTCATGCGATAGTGTCTTTAAAGAATCCCCCCTGTGCTTAATTGACAGTTCTTTCCACCTGCAGATGCAGCATGTATTTAAACACTTCTTCATTATCCTGATGAATTAAATGATTCATTTTTGTTCTTTATTGTACTATCCTATTAAACGTATACATCCGAAAGTGTACATGCAATCCTTTACAAATACAATGTACAAAATGAGATAGTATTTTAAAACACTTTTTGTACCCACTTGTTAACACATTCCATCCATAAGTTTACATGCATGTAGTTACATTGAACTGTTTCTAAATGCTAAGCGGAGTTCACAATGCTAAGCGGATTTCACAAACTAAACGAGTAGGTTACCACGGAAAAATGCTTCATTTTTAAACACATTTCAAAGCAAAATTTCATCGGATGCCGCAAGTTATTAAATGTATTAAAAGATAGGTGCAAAAAGCATTTAAACTCTAATCGCTGTTTAACAGTGAATGATTTCAGTCTAGTCTCTACATACTCTTCGGTCCGTACAAAATGTAACGTATGTCATGCACAATTAAGACGTGGATCTTCGACCGAGGAAAGCAAATGCCCGATCGTCTTGCGAAATTCTCAAGTCCCAAGACCTGTTGGCGGATTAGATCCGTGAAGATATCCAGGCGCCTTTCAAGCTAGACTTGGGACAGTTGAAACATGCCGTCACTTGTCATGTATCTGGTGACATCAACCTGTGGACGATCGGAAGAGGTCGATGCCACGCTTTGACTGATGGCCGGACAGTTATTAATTGATCTCTCGTTAAACATCCTTTTAAAAGGAGTGTTTGTTTTCCCAGCGGCTGTTCGATCGACTTAATTGGTTCACTTGATGGATAGGCCAAAGGCAAGCAGAGGGAGGGGGAGGGATGCAGAGCGTCATGGCACTCGATTAAGCCAGCTCATTGCATCAGCGATGAGACGCGACGAAAGGGAGAAGTTGCGTCAAACAGTCGTCGGGGTAAAGGCGTCGCTTGGCTTGGCGCATGTCTGCCACGTGCCGGGAAGAGTGACGTCACTGAACGTAGCTTTAGGTGGCTATGCTCTGGACATGACACGGACAACACAGATTAAACAACTTGAAAAAAAAGATGTCTCAATTAAAAAAATGTCATTTCTACTTGAAGCAGTCGCAAACAGCCACAGTTCTCTCTTTTGGTAG